TAACAACAACACAAACAACTGATCCAAGTGTAAGTTAAACCAATTGTTATACAGTAAAATAACAACAACACAAACAACTGATCCAAGTGTAAGTTAAACCAATTGTTACACAGTAAAACAAACTTGTATTTATTCAAGGGGAGGAACCTTTAGTAACACATATGTGCCAGTGTATTCGGTGTAACTGGATAACCAACAGAGAAAGGAAATGAAGTAGTAACACTATTAGCATGAGCATGTCTGTTTACACGGCTGTGAACCGGGAAAACTATTTAACCTTTTTAAAACACTGTAACTATGATCAACTTTAATATCAGTAACTGTAACGATGATCAGCTTTAATATCAGTTACTGTAACCATGATCAACATTAATATCAGTTACTGTAACCATGATCAAGTTTAATATCAGGTACTGTAACCATGATCAACTTTAATATCAGTTACTGTAACTATAATCAGCTTTAATATCAGTTACTGTAAGTATGATCAACATTAATATCAGTTACTGTAACTATGATTAGCTTTAATATCAGTAACTGTAACCATGACCAACATTAATATAGGTTATGTAACCGTGTTCAGTTTTGATACAAGTTTCTATCAAATAATTTTTTATAATTTTCTATACATTTACATAGTTGTTCCTTGAATTAAGTAACAAAACGCTGTAACCATGATCAAAATTAATATCAGTAACTGTAACTATGATTAGCTTTAATATCAGTTACTGTAACTGTGATCAACTTTAATATCAGTAACTGTAAATATGATCAACATTAATATCAGTAATAACTGATATTAAAGTTGATCATGGTTACAGTAACTGATATTAAACTTGATCATGGTTACAGTAACTGATATTAAAGTTGATCATCGTTACAGTTACTGATATTAAAGTTGATCATAGTTACAGTTACTGATATTAAAGTTGATCATGGTTACAGTAACTGATATTAATGTTGACCATGGTTACAGTAACTGATATTAAAGTTGATCATGGTTACAGTTACTGATATTAAAGTTGATCATAGTTACAGTAACTGATATTAATGTTGATCATAGTTACAGTAACTGATATTAAAGTTAATCATGGTTACAGCAACTGATATTAAAGGCGATTATGGTTACAGTATCTGATATTAACGTTGACCATGGTTACAGTAACTGATATCAAAGTTGATCATGGTTACAGTAACTGATATTAAAGTTGATCATTGTTACAGTAACTGATATTAAAGTTGATCATGCGTTATTTTCTCATAAAAATTATTTTGTGATGTAAGTGAACAACAAACAGCGGATTTAAAGTTAAATCGTCAGTGTTTACTGTACAAAAACAAACCAGCATGTGTGTCTACTGTTTACTGTACAAAAACATTCTACACCACTGTTGTTTACTGTACAAAAACAATTTACACCAGTGTTGTTTACTGTACAAAAACAATCTACACCACTGTTGTTCATTGTACAAAAACAATTTACACACTGTTGTTTATTGTAGAAAACAATTTACACCAGTGTTGTTTACTGTGCAAAAACAATTTACACCACTGTTGTTTATTGTAGAAAAACAATCTACACCACTGTTGTTTACTGTACAAAAACATTCTACACCACTGTTGTTTACTGTACAAAAACAATCTACACCACTGTTGTTTACTGTACAAAAACAATCTACACCACTGTTGTTTACTATACAAAAACAATCCACACCACTGTTGTTTTCTTTTCAAAAACAATCTACACCATTGTTGTTTACTGTACAAAAACAATACACCACTGTTGTTTACTGTACAAAAACAATCTACACCACTGTTGTTTATTGAAGAAAACAATTTACACCACTGTTGTTTACTGTACAAAAACAATCTACACCACTGTTGTTTACTGTACAAAAACAATCTACACCACTGTTGTTTACTGTACAAAACAATCTACACCATTGTTGTTTACTGTACCAAAACAATTTACACCACCGTTATTTACTGTACAAAAACAATTTACACCACCGTTATTTACTGTACAAAAACAATCTACACTACTGTGTGTTGGCTCTTATGATACAAAAAAATCTCTAAATAAATATATTCAGCAACACCAAGAACTGTGTATGATTTGGTTTCACCACAGGTAATCCCACCTGTTGCAAGGTGAACAACTGAATATATTTCCACCAGTACTTTCCTTGTGGTGAGCAGACAAACTGAGAAGGGGACTCGTGTATAAAATGATTTCTTGAATTTGTCAGATGTTTTCACCAACGTACACTAGCTGCCGTGAGGTTTGAGTGATACACATAGTGCGATACCTTCGGTTTTACATTACACACAAACACTTTATTGACTGGATTTTGAAATTGTTGCTGTACTTTATTAGAGAGGAGTTTACTGGTTTCACAGTGTATTTTATCTTTAGTTTGTTGTTAGATACCTCACAGCTTCTCTAACGAACGTTGACTGGTCATTAGTTCCCGGGTCAGGCGCCAGCACTGCTTGGCTGCATTCTCGAGGGAATTGACAGACTTCCCCTTGAAGAGGTCGAGCTGAGGGAGGAAGTAGTGAGGACAGCGGCGACACTGTAGACACGAGATCATCTGTAGGAGAATGCCGTTCAGGCGGTCACCTAGACTCGCCTCGTCCCACTCCAGCTCCCGGGGGTGCTTTTCACACTCGTACAGTAGTAGGGTCTTCAGATGGTAGCTCGTGACGGGGTTGCCCGGCAGGTCCAGGTGGCGGTCCCGCATCGTCTTCAGGATACTGAGACATTTCTTCCGACAGCCGCCGATAAGAAGGGTGTTCTCGGCCTCCGTGAAGTTCAGCACCCACGCGTCGCCTTCCATTGAGGATTGTTTTCCATGCAGGGAGACGGAGTCTTTGGACAAGAGGTCGAAACCCTCAGCCTTCACTTCGGCTATCAGGTTGGGAGTAGGCCAAGGGTTGTGAGGGATTGGCCATTGGGCAGCTGATCGCGGCCAGAGTCCGCTGCAGCGGAAAGAGGGCGTGATCTGAACAACATAGCGCTCGCGGATCCGCAGTTTGACCTCGGTGGTATCGGCCACCATCTTGACCACCTCTCTGTAGCTACTCTTGTCGCACGCTTGAGCCACAAGTGTCTGAAAACGGCTCCGAATCTTCCTCGCCGACAGGTATCCCGATGCCGTAATAAATTCTACCCAGAGCGACATGGAACGCTTTCGGCCGTCACTGAGCTTCAACACGGCACACCCAGGTAAAGATCCGTCGTCTACGAAGTTAAAAACCCCCATCTGGTTGAGGTAAAGAACCACCTCGAACTCGGTGGGTGAAAGCACCTCCAATCCATCGAACCTACTGTTACATTCATTAAGCGAGGAGATAAAGCGGGGTTCCTGCACCTCCACCTCCTTTAGAACGTCCTGCACCACCTTGCAGACGTCACTGACCGTCTTGGAGATGATTGCTTTCCGAGATTGGACCCTGTCTCCATAGAATTTGTTCAGTTGGTAGAGCAGCTTGGATTGCGTTGTCGTCATATCTGATGGCACTAACATCTCGGTGAAAACACTGCTTACTAATCTAATGTAAAGTCGTCTCTCTCTCGAGCGCCGTATGTATGGTAAACAAAACTCTGCTGCACTTACAACCACTCCACTGTGAATTGCCGGTAAGCCCCGCCCCTGGTGCGTGTGACCAATCTGAAGGCGCAGGATTCTAGGCTACAGTAGGAAGAGCTGCTACAAGTTTCTTTAAATAACATGCTTGTAACTCGAGAAGGACGGTACACGTGAAGCTACGAGCTCTGTGATTGGCTTAAGGAAAGAACAAATACGAGGAATCTTGAACAAAATGTTAGATCCATTATTAGTTGTTACAAGTGAGATTTATACAATATATCCCGCCTCGTGGTCGCTTGGGGTAGGTAGTGCCTCTATAGCACGAGAATTAAAATGGCTTTTGGATTGTGTGTATAGCAGATAAGTTTCATTAAATGATAGGAAAACCCTTGTTTTTAATAAAATAAATAGAGGCTGGAAGTTTTACAACAAACCAGAACTAATGAGATTGAGAGAGTAATTTCAACAATTCAGTAGCTGCATATAAATCAGTTATATAGTTAGGTAGTGCCATCTATTTTATTCTTCTAGTTTATGACAACTGATAAAAGAGGGTAGAAACATTAGGCATAGCGTGACACTTACTGCGTTTGTTGATTAATTTAAAAGACACTGGCATCTTATAAAAGGTGTCATGACACTAAATACAACATAACATGTTTATAATGACACTATAAAACAAATATAACATGTTTAATATGACACTATAAACCGAACATAACGTGTTTATAATGACACTATAAAACACACATAATGTGTTTATTATGACACTATAAACCAAACATAACGTGTTTATTATGACAATATAAAACACACATAACGTGTTTATTATGACACTAAATACAACATAACATGTTTAATATGACACTAAATACAACATAATGTGTTTATTATGACACTAAATACAACATAACATGTTTAATATGACACTAAATACAACATAATGTGTTTATTATGACACTATAAAACAAACATAACGTGTTTATTATGACACTATAAACCAAACATAACATGTTTATAATGACACTATAAAACAAATATAACATGTTTAATATGACACTATAAACCGAACATAACGTGTTTATAATGACACTATATAACAAACATAACGTGTTTATTATGACACTATAAAACACACATAACGTGTTTATTATGACACTATAAACCAAACATAACATGTTTATAATGACACTATATAACACACATAACGTGTTTATTATGACACTATAAAACACACATAACGTGTTTATTATGACACTATAAACCGAACATAACGTGTTTATTATGACACTATAAAACACACATAACGTGTTTATTATGACACTATAAAACAAACATAACGTGTTTATTATGACACTATAAAACACACATAACGTGTTTATTATGACACTATAAACCGAACATAACGTGTTTATTATGACACTATAAACACACATAACGTGTTTATTATGACACTATAAAACACACATAACGTGTTTATTATGACACTATAAACCAAACATAACGTGTTTATTATGACACTATAAAACTGTCACTTTTTCAAATCTCCTTCTTAACTTGATGATGACCTAAGGAGGTCGAAACGTTGTTACTTGTTTTGTGCTTTTCATATAAAAATGTTCAATACCCATATCAGCTCCTGTTTGCTTGATGTGTTGTTAAAACTTGTGTTTGATGTGTTGTTAGGGCTTATGTTTCATGTATTGGTAAGGCTTCTGTTTCATGTGTTGTTGAGGCTTCTGTTTATGTTAAGTCTATGTTGTGTAGTCAACTCTGTAAGATTCTTCGCTAGAACAAGTCTCTGTTGTGTACAGAGTTGACTAAGATTCATCGC